GTCATTATTTAATATTTCTATTGTTTACGTCTGCCTTCCACTAGAATATACACTTTATTCATCTGTTTTATTCACAGTTGTATCCATAGAATCCACAACAATGCCTGGCATTAATCTCAATAAAGCATTGCTGCATGAAGAATATGAAGCAATAAATATTGGAAGAGATAAAATTACCTTTTTATTACCAGATGATAATATTGTATACCTAGAAAGCCCAAGATAAACTAGCAAAGCAGCCATTAAATTTAATAAAATAACTGGACAAGGCTCTGGAGAAAAGATGAATGTACAAAAATCAGGATTTTTCTTTGTACCACAGTAAGATTTAGAAACGAGCATGGGGGAAATTTCTCATTCACAGTGGCAAATAAAAGTGGCAAATAAAAAGGTAATATAAAAAGGTGCAAGATGTACATAATTAACATTACAAAAAGTTATTAAAAGGAATAAAATGCTATATTATTATAGAAACATATTTTGGATAGGAATTCTTAATATCATAGAATATGATATTTCCTTCATTAGTATAAATGCAATGCAATTCAAATTGTAATTCCAATAAAGCACTTGTGCCTTTGCGAGAGAGGGGCAGAGAGAGAGAGAGAGAGAATCCCAAGCAAGCTCTGTGCTATTAGCATGGAGCCAACCAGGGGCTCAAACTCACCAACCATGAGATCATGACCTGAGCCTATAACAAGCAGGACGCCTAACCAACTGAGCCACCCAGGCACCCCTAATGTGGGTTAAATTTAAATGCAAAAGATATAAAACAAAATTATCAGAATAAAACATAGTAGAATTCTTTTACAACCTCGCACTAAGGGGGATATTCCTAAGCAAAGCAGAAAATACAGAAACTATAAAAGACAGATATTGACAAAAGACTAACTGAAGTCAAGACATACCAAAGAGGGGGAATGTATTTTTCTCAGATGACATTCAAAAAATATCCTTAATATTAAAGAACTTTGAAAAGTAACAAGAAAACTATTATAAATACATTTAAAAATGGGCAAAGCACAGAAACAGACTAATTTACAGAAGAGAAAATACAAATGTCCAATAAATCCAAAGGTGACCATAGCCATGATAATGCCAATAAAGTAAAAAATTATATTCAGTATTTCACCTTTAAGAATTGCAAATTTTTAGCAAGTGCAGTAACACTATGAATAGGTGAGGATATAGAGAAATATGTACTCACACGAATTTCTTGTAGGAATATGGATTAATACAAACTTTTTAAATGGTAATCTCTTGGTATATTTTTTTTTAATTTTTTTAATATTTATTTATTTTTGAGAAATAGAGATAGAGACAGAGTGTGAGCGGGGGAGGAACAGAGAGAGAGAGGGAGACACAGAATCCAAAGCAGGCTCCAGGCTCTGAACTGTCAGCACAGAGCCTGATGCGGGGCTGGAACCCACAAACTGTGAGATCATGACCTGAGCCGAAGTTGGACGCTTCACTGACTGAACCACCCACGTGGCCCTCTTCATATATGTTTTTAAATTTAAAATACACATACCAAAATGTTACTGAAATATCTCCAAGATATATTACATACAACAATAGGATGCAAGTAGTATGGTGGTCACTTTCTGTGTAAAATAGTATGATAGGGGCACCTGGGTGGCTTAGTTAAGGGTCAGGTCATGATCTCACGGTTTGTGGGTTCTAGCCCTGTGTCGGGCTCTGTGCTGACAGCCCAGAGCCTGGAGCCTGCTTCAGATTCTGTGTCTCCCTCTCTCTCTCTGCCCCTCCCCTGCTTGCGCTCTGTGTCTCTTTCAAAAGTAAACATTAACAAATCTTTTTTAAATAGTATGATAAACCCAGTAGGTATTGTATTGGAGTAGGTTAATTCCTGTAAAAAAAAAAAAAAAAGAATCAAACATCAAACTACTGGGTGCCTGGGTGGTTCATTTGGTTAAGCGCCTGACTCTTGATTTCAGCTCAGGTGGGGCTCCATGTGGGCTCCATGCTGGGTGGATTCTCTCTCTCCCTTTCCCCTGCTTGCACACTTTCTCAAAAAAAATGAAAAATAGGGGCGCCTGTGTGGCGCATTCAGCCAGGTCACGATCTCGCGGTCCGTGAGTTCGAGCCCCTCGTCAGGCTCTGGGCTGATGGCTCAGAGCCTGGAGCCTGTTTCCGATTCTGTGTCTCCCTCTCTCTATGCCCCTCCCCCGTTCATACTCTCTCTCTGTCCCAAAAATAAATAAATGTTGAAAAAAAAAATGAAAAATAAAACGAAAAAATTTTTAAATGTAAATACATAAAATAACTCAAAGGCTATTACTTGCTAAGTTGAGGAATAGTACGAATGATTTTAAGGGCTAGTCTTGGAGGGGCACATATCACTACTACTCACATTTAATTGGCCAAAATTAGTCACGTGACCACATATACCTGCAAAGGAGACCGAGATATAGTCTAGCTGTGTGACCAAAAGGAAGAGGAGAAATTTTGGAGGACAGTTAAAAATCTCTGCTATAGATAGATTAATAGGCAGATAGGTAGGTAGATAGATGAGAGATAGACACAGATATAGAGCAAGCTATCTAACTGTATTTGTAGCTACACTATATAAATTCAATATAAACATTTCTTTTCTGGCAGAAATTATAAGAAACTCTTCATAAGGGTTATACGATTACTTTAGAACCAAATGGAAGGCAATGAAGTTTTGTTTTATTTCACACTTCTCTGGATTATTTGCATTTCCTAACTTGATACATATATTTTTCACCCATCCTGACTATGGGATTTATTTAAGTGAAGAGAGTAGGTCTCATTTTTCTTTTTTGTTTCTCCATGTACTTAAATTATATAGATACATTTTAAATAACTATAAGTATATATCAAATAAATAGTAACTACTACAAATATCCTGAAAAAATAAACATGCCTTTTTTCTTAGCAACTTGATAAGCTATCCCATTAAAGTAAAAGTGTCAATATGTAAGGGTACATAAACAAGGCTGTTTACTTCATCTTTATTTATAATGGCAACTACTGCAAACAACTTGAATATCTGTTGATGAACTCTAAAAAATACATGTTCTAGAATAGGAACTCTCAAACTTTATGGTCTCAGAACTCTTTATACTCTTAAAAATTATTAAGAACTTCAAAGGGCTTTTGTTTATGTGGGTTGAATTTATCCAGATTTATCATACTGGCATTTAAAACAGAAACTTAAAAATATTTATTAACACATTTAAAAATAATAAACCTACCACATATTAACACAATATGTTTATTAACACAATATTAACACATATTAACATATTAACACAATAACATTTTATGAAAAATATCTATTTTCACAAAACAAAATACATATGTTGAAGAATGACCCTGTTTTATATTTTTACAAGACTCTAAGGACTGCCTTTATAAAATACAGCACAATTTTCATTATCAGCTTCTGCATTCAGTCTGTTACTGTGTGTTATACTGATTGAATATATGAAAAGTCCAGCCTCACAGAAAATCTAGATATTTAGTTGAAAAAGGGAAGGTTATTTTAAAAGATTATTTTGTTTCATTAATTTAAGATGATTTCTATTTTATTTAATGAAATTATCTTTTTAGATCATTTTGATATTCTTTTTTAATATTATACCAAAACTTGACAAGTAGCTGTTTATTAAAGGTTAGTTGCAATGTAGAATCTGAAATCACATCAATGAATTTTTGTACCGTTAGATTAAAAATCTTTATTTTGCACATTAAATGGGTCTTTTCCCCACTCATGATTTTGTAATATCATGCATCCATCATTTGGAAAATATTGGTTCACTGAGTTATGCAGATCTCCCAAATGTTAACGCATTTCACTACACGATATCAAAAAGTAAAATTCATTAATATCACCACTGGTGCCCATGGTAGAGGATAAAAGTTTTTTAAAATTGCTTGGAAGCTTGAATTTTATCATCAGCAACGACTATTGTCAATTGTTTTTCTTGAAGTGAGGCTCATTTTGTTCATTTTCACATTTTTTCATTTAATTTCAAATACCATATCTGAATAACTAGTTTTTCAGTCTTTCTTAAAAAAAAAAAGATGCTTCACGGGAAAAGCAGCTAGTTTAAGTTCACAATTCAATCAGGTAAGTGCTTTACCATGAGATCACCATCACACTCCAGTATGCTGCAAAAGCACTTCATGCAGTCTCCCCATTTCACACCCACCCGTATTGAAAAGGCATGTATTCAAAGACTGAGACTTAATACGATTTTCACCACTTCATCAATGGACATTCTTCCAGTGACACACACACACACACACACACACACGCACAAATCGCAAACCCAAAAACCAAACGAACAAAAATACCCGGGGAGTTCCTGGTGGTGAAGAATACATTGACTACCAGTACAGTTTGATGTGACTGCCTTCGTGCTAAGCAGCCTAAGTTTGAATCCAGTAACACCACCCTCCTTAGCTGTCTGTGGCTTAGGACATGTTTACCTGATTCCACTGAGCTTTAGTTTCTTTATCTGCAAAATGGTGATGAAGTGTACTGTCCACACTCATAGGTTTCCTGCAACAAATGTGTTAAAATGTTTAAATGCCATGCACAAGGCTTTGACACAGTTTAAGTGCCCAGAATGTAGTAGATGGATTTCAAATACAGACTGTAGTAGTAATAAGACCAGCTCCACAGATGAACAGAGAGTGTATTGTTACAAACCACTGGGGAGTTGAATGTCAGAGTTAGAAATGAAAACATAGTTTTGTGATTTCCTTATTTTGTCTGTCTGTAAAAACATCCAATTGTGTCACGAGATTTGGCTATACAGGTCTCAGTTTCTTAATTTCTAGAAGGAGAATGCAATGTCCTTTTTTAAAAAAAAAAATGTTTATTTTTATTTATCTTTTGAGAGAGAGAGAGAGAGAGAACACAAGGAGGGGGGCAGAGAGAGAAAGAGACACACAGAATCCTAAGCAGGTTCAAGGCTCTGAGCTGACAGCAGCGAGCCTGATGCAAGGCTCCAACTCACCGACTGTCAGATCATGACCTGATGACCTGAGCGGAAGTCGCAGGTTCAACCGACTGGGCCACCCAGGTGCCCCAACACAATGTCCTTTTATCTCAGCAGTAGGAAGGCAAAACCAAAGCAGCCCAGACTATAGGAAGGAGCTCATTACTCAAATATTCTCTGGGTTTTAGGGAGATCTAACTGATACACATATGTCTCCAGCTATCCTCACGTAGAAGGGCTGCATATTAGGAAACATTTATTGAGCACTTAAAGATGTTTTGAGAAAAAGTACTTTGTTTAGATTCTTATACTTGACCACGAAACAATGTTTAAATTCTCAGTTAATAATATACAGCAACCCAAAAGTTAAGAGTGGATAGTTATTTCTGGATGATGAGGTAAGAGTTGATTTTTATTTTCTTTTTATGCTTATTTTTTTAACATTTTCCTACCATCAGCATAATCTGCTTACTGTTTTAAAGTTATTTTAAAATTTTTTACAAGAAGAAAATCACAGTGAGCTTGGTTTATGGCATTTTAACTGCAATTTTGCACGGCATTTAAAATTTCAAAACATTAGTTAAAATTTGAAAAGAACAGTGCATTCACTTTGGCAAAGAGAGAAAATACACTTCATTGTGGTTTTAACTATTGATCCACAACTTTTAGGAAAGAAAGATTGCCTAGCCCAAAGCTATTATTTTCATAACACAATGCAAGTGTTGTACTGAGCAGTAAAACACCGTGATTAAGCGCATGCTCAAAGCTCTACCTTCATCGGGCATCTGCTCTTGTCTTAACAAAGAGCACGCAAATCAGTCACGGAACAGCCATCAGTGCAGCACAATGTCTGTAAGTCTTGTCCTGACAAGAGCCCCAAAGCTTCTTTGAGCCCCAAAGCCCTTGGCCAACTGTTCATCCTGAAGTCTCTTCTCTCCTGAGGAATCCACCTGCGGAAAGTGTTGCACCAGGCTTTCCTCCAAAACTTCATTCGTGCTCATCTGGAAGTTAGAAGTAGTTTCTTCTCTCAGCTGTACGGAAGAGAGTCTCAACAAAGAAGGAAGGTTGTAGCCAAATTCTGCACTTGGGGATGTGCATTGGGTGTTTTTAAAGGAAATTGAGTCCTGCACATCATTTTCTTTAAATGTTGGTCTGGCTTCAGAAAGATTAGACATTCTGGGGAGAACTTAGTCATCTCCACCTTCCTGGATCTGCAGGAGAGGAAACATCAGAGCGGAGAGAAGGAGTGACAACAACCTGTGTCCTGCAGCCAATGAGGAGCCAAGTCCAAGTTCACCTTCTGTTGTACTGGCTACCACTGCTCCATGACCAGCAGCCTCCAAGGTATTCGTTACATGCTATAAATAAAAAACACACAAACAAAAATAACCCTTGTGTATGCCCTGCAAAGTTGATCAGTAAGGAAGGAAGTGGAGAGATTTAAACCTCTATGTCTGAAAACCAAAAGTGGTTCCCACTGTTATTAGGGTGTTGTTCCCAAAGTCCTCCCTCAATTTAACTACATTCCAATTTATTTATCAGCACCTTAGCACACTGGCAAGCTCCAAGAAAACTTACATGAATGAATGCTGATTAATAAACCAGTAATGGATTGAATAAATAATATATGAGAAAATACTCTGAAAAGTACTCTGTGAAAGATTAAATAAACTGTATTCTGATGTCAGCGGTGTTAAAACAGAGCCTTGCACAAACATCCGTTCAATTGCCCGATGTGTTTCATAGATATTCCAAATGCATTCTTTCTAGTGCATTTTGGCTTGCTAATCCAGAGATGGATAAATTATGCTAAATCTGGTAAATTAGGTTTACTCTCTTGAGATTAAAAGCACTTATTATATCTGCTAACATCTAGTAACTATGTAACTCCCACTCAATGTGGGAGTGATGAGTTCATAATTTTTCAAGAAATTAGCCCAACAAAATATAAAAACCGTGGGTCATTTTCTAAAATATTTTCGTTTACCAAAGTCATTTGCAACTGCATTGAAACTTTTACATTCATATATGTGGTTATGACATTTATTATGTGATCACATTTTCCTGTTTTAACTTTTTATTGTAAGACATAACCAACACAGTTAATTATTAAAATAGAACCTTAAATAAATTCTACCTCATACTTTAATATGGGATTAGCAGAAAGAATTCCAGTTAAACATCTTGAATTGAAAAATGAAGAGGGGTGCCTAGGTGGCTTGGTCCGTTAAGCGTCTGACTCTGGATTTCAGCCCAGGTCATAATCTCACAGTTGGTGAGATCAAGCCTCACCGTGGGCTCTGTGTTGACAATGCAGAGCCTCCTTGGGATTCTCTCTCTCCCAATCTCAGCCCCTCTCCCACTCGCATGGGTGCGCATGGATGCACGCGCTCTCTCTCTCTCAAAGTAAATGAATAAACATTTTTTTTTTTTTTTAATGAAGAAAAGCCGTGAAATCAGTCCCCTCAGTATTCCTGAAACATGTTAGTTAGGTTCATTCCCACCTCAACATTCTGAGCAAACAATTCCAACTAGAATTCCCACTAGAATTTCACTTCACCCCACTTGCCGTAACTCCCCAAATCCTATACGTCCTTTAGGGCCTCCATCAAACACCACTGCCTCTATCATTTATTACAGCAGTTCACCATCTTCTTTTTCCCATCTGAGACACAGTATAAACAAAGACCTCAGCTCTTGAAGCCAGATAGACTTGGTTTGCCCCCTAGCCACACTACCTACCAGCTGGGTGAACAACTTTGTTCCCAGTAAAATGGTAAATTGTGGCAATATTACTTCACAGGATGCTTATCGTCAGACTGAATGAAATGTTGTACATGAAACTATCTGGCACTTAGTAAGTGCTCAATAACAGATTCTTTCCTTGCGTCCTTATTTAGCACCTGCCTTAATTCCAACTTACTATATTCTGTAATTGTCCATGTATGAAATTATCCATGCTACTTCAACATGTCCCTTAGCATCACATGCTTCTATTCCCCATAGCACCTGCCATAGATGTTGAGATCATCAAAGTAGTTATGCAATCAAATGACTTCAAGCTGGAGACTAAAGAAAACAAGGTCTTTACTGTCTGAAAGGTAGCAAGCTCACATCTTTCCCAAGCCAAATTCAATTTATTTTGATAATTAACCCCTGAAACTGATGTAGAAGTGGCTTAGCAGTAATTAGAGACATACTAAAACAAGCCTGGGGAAAAAAAATAAGTGAAGAAGTCACATGAGTTAATGTTACCTTGACTTTGAGGGATTCCTTCCGGGTGCCTTCTCTACCTAGGGCCAGCACAGGTATAGATGACTGCTTTTATGTACTCTAGTCCACAGAGCTTCTATAGACTCCTCAAGCGTCACTTCTGAGATGGCAAGAAGGACAGAAAATAGAAACAAAAGTCAAAATGGAGCCCTTCGTCTTGCTGAATAAGAATCTGACGTGGTGAATATTGCCAAATCAAGTTTTGAACTCACCTTCACACTTGTCCAATTTATACTAGCTTTCCTGACATTTTATTGGTCAGAATCTCGTTTTAACAATATTTGCAAAGCACATAGTTTACACTGTGAAGTTTTGATAATGTGCCTTTATGATTATTGCTAGTTATTCAGTCACTTCTGAACACCATCACTTACCATTAGCGGCATCCATGAGACAATAAACAGGATGCTCTCTTGGAAGACATCTGGAAAAACACAAGCTTTGGAAGTAGCCAAGTAGGACTTTCAATGTCAGCCTTGTCACTTACTAAGTGACATGGGGCAAGTTTTAAACCCTTTAAACTTTGATAAGCATATCTTTAGAGTGCGAAAACCTATCTTGTAAGAGTTTTTCAGTATCGAAAGCAATACCTTCTCAAAGCCATGAGAAAACTAACTTAAGAATTTGTGTTTGGGGTACCTGGATGGGTCAGCCAGCTAAGCTTCTGACTTTGGCTCAGGTCATGATCTCACAGTTCCTGAGTTCGAGCCCTGAATTGGGCTCTGTGCTGACAGCTCTGAGCCTGAAGCCTGATTCAGATTCTGTCTCCCTCTCTCTCTGCCCCTCTTCCGCTCTCACTCTGTCTCTCAAAAATAAACGTTTAAAAAAATTTAAAAAAATTTGCATTCTTGTGTTTTGAATTTGAATCTTCGTATCCCACTTAGATGATCTAGAATCTTAACCAAAATATTTAACCTCTCCAAGAATTGTTCTCTGTAAAATTGTGATGGTAACTGCTTCTTTTTTTTTAATTTCTTTTTTTAACATTTATTTATTTTTGAGACACAGAGAGACCCTGAAACAGGCTCCAGGCTCTGAGCTGTCAGCACAGAGCCCAACGCAGGGCTGGAACTCATGGACTGCGAGATCATGACCTGAGCTGAAGTCAGACACTTAATCAACTGAGCCACCCAGGCGCCCCAATAACTGCTTCTTAAAACTAATGAGATAACGCGTGTCCTGCTTGACAATATAAACATTTATCTTCTTCCCTCACCATTGGGATGGACTAGAAAACATAACTTTCCTTTAGAATACAGGGGGAGTTTTCTGACTAGAATCTTCCTTGTTATCCTTCACCCCATGACTTAGGCATGCATTAATCAATACATATTTTTTATAACAGAAACCTGAATACATAAACTCTCAATGAGCCAAATAATGAAATTTCTCTTGTAAACTTTCTGAAAGTGCTCATCCTGGCAAAGCTCTTACCTAAACTAGGAAAGCTGGCGTTTGAGATCTTAAAGAGTTGTTGACTCACTTTTTAGCAAATTGAAAACTAATCTTTTAAATTGATTCCTCTTGTGTGATCTCTGGTTGGAAAAAAAATCCGTTCAGCCAGTGATCAAGATCATATCACCCATACTTCTTGTGGCATTGCCTTTTTTCTGCAGGGAAGCCAGAAAACAGAATAAGAAAATCAATGCTCTGATCGAAAGCATTTCTGACTCTGAAAAATAAATATATTACTTCAAAGAATTGTTGCTTTCTCAATCTCTCTGGCTGCAGTAGGGAGAGTGGATTAAGGGGAGCAAGGGAACAAAAAAGGCTTTGGCAATAATTTAGATGAGATATGATGTGCTCTCAACTAAAGTCATTGCGGAAAGGATGAGGCAGATGGCAGTATTCAAAAAATAGGAGGGCTTGGTACAAATTAGATATCAGGGATAAGGAGGCCAAAATGGTACTTAGGTCTCTGGCTCACACAACTGGGAGGTAGGAGGAGAGTCATTTTGCTAAGAAAGGCACATAATGTGCAGGAATGGTTTTGACATCAAACAGAGCTACCTTATCTTTTCATAGGTCAATATGGCAGGTGAATCTGTCATTTATCAACTCCAGAGGGGCATCTGCATGACCAAGTCTAGCACACCCACAACATCAGCAATTATTTAGCCATTTATTACCAACTTCTTCTCTTCTTTGGAGATTTATACTGCCCATCTTGATAATGCCAGGTGTAACATAGCTCTGCAATAAACCTGTGATCAGTAGCTATGGGCTGGGCTTCTGTACAACCCAGGAGAGAAATATTCAGCCAAGGGATGATCCCTATCTTGGATGTCAGATGCACTCGGGTACCTCTGAACTCTGCTACCATCCCCACTTTATCCCCCTGGGCTCAAAATAGTCTCTTCTGCCAGCTGTTAAGACGTCATCAGGGTTTACGTTAATTTGGGATGCAAATGCAAGGCCAGTGGGACCTGAGCTCAGCCTGAGACCAAAGGGAGGCAAACTAATCAGGTCGCGTTCCCAGATAAAAAGCTAATGCCAATAATGAAAGCCCTAGTTGTGGCGTTTCCATTTTGAGGGCTTTACTTTTGCCATTTGTGAATCGAGAGAGTTGGACTCAATTACCTAGGGCTCCCTTGAACTTGAAATGCTAAGTCTTCTTATGATTATCTGATTCCTTTACTCCTGACCCAAAACCTTTCTATGGCTCAGCATTACCTGGAGAATAAAATCCAAACAGCCTGGCATTCAAAACTCTTCATCCAGGCCTTCAAATATCACTCCTTGCACGTAACTCAAGGTACAACCAGAGAAGATAACCAAAATGAAAATAAATCTTTCCATCTTTTGACCAAAAAGAGTTTGTTTCTTGTACCTCTGACTAGAGCATTTAATCCTTTCTATTTGGAGGTTGACATGACTTTTCCTTCTCATCTAGTCTGCAGCTCAGTTTACTATCTGTGTGGCTTTAAATATGTAATTGTCTTCTCTGAGTTTAGTTTCTTCATCTGTGAGGAGATACTAATCTGCATTATATTACATGCTTTATGTAGGATAATATATGATGTTTAACAGATGCTCAATAAATTAATGTGATATGCAGGAGATTAGAAATGCATTTTTTGGCTGCAACTAGCTACTATGGAAGGCTTTTATGTATAACTCTTGATCTCAAAACTATCCAAAAATTTGCACTGCTCTGGTCTTTTTCTTTCCTTCCTTCATTCTTTCCTCTCCTTCTTCATTCCTCTCCTCTTTCCACAAATACATTCTAAAAGCAGAACCTTAGAGTACTATTTCTGAAAGTATTGTCTTTAGGACATGAGTCTTTGAAGATGGTCTTTGGAAAAAAAATCCTACAGTAATGGTCCCTTTTTTTGTAGATTAATGATGCATGTTATATATACAGGCTCAGGGAAGACTTATAGTTAGGAAACTTCTTTAATTTGTTGAATTCAATATTTCCCAAACTTATTCAACCCCAGAACATCTTTCACCATGCAGTTGACTAATATTTGGAATAGTTGTGAATTTCTAGGGGAGATATATTTCCAGTTCTCTTCCTCTCAGGCACATGGTGGGATTCTATTTCCCTGTTCTTTAAAATTGGATGTGGCCATGTGACATACTTTGGCAAATAAAAGGTGATTGGAAGTAACATATGCCACTTTTACCTGGCATTTAAGGATTGGTGCATGATTCCCCAGTCCTCCCTCTCTTCCACCTTGATGACCGACATCATTCTTGATGGAACCTGGTCTCTGGTCAAAAAAATATAAAATGAGACCACCTGCTCACCTGTAATGAACATGTAATGTACACGAGAAGTAAATTCTCACCATTTAAAGCCGCTGAGATTTGGCAATTATTGGCTGTGGCAACGTAATCTGATTTATTCTCACTGGTATAATTATCTTAAAGTTATTTACATTCTTATAGATGTAGAGAATGTTTATATGATCCAAGTTTTTAGACCAAAGCAAAGTAAGATCAGTTATCTGGACTTAACAGCTGGAATTAATTACCATGTGTTCAATATGATTGATAATATGAAGATCCACAATTAACATGAACCAAAAATTCAAACTAACAACCAATGGATTGAGTAAATGTATGTTTCATCTATAAATTGCTTATCGAGGAACTATGGTCACAAGAACATCTAATACATGGTGTTAGAGCAGGTTGGCATGAGTTGTAAGTACTGTCTGTGGCATTCAGATTTGGAAAATCAGATTTCAGTTCTGCCATTTAATATCTATGTGACCTTAAATACTCAATGTCTCTGAATCTCAGTTTCTTCACTTGTAAAATAGAGATAATAATGCTGACTTTATTAGGGTGGTTGTCAGGATTAAATTATGCAGAGTACTGTCAGAGTCTCTAGCACAAAAGGAACTTTCAATAGATTGATCATTCATAGTAATGACAAGAACCATAATTCTACCAAATGTTATACTGTGTCATAGTGGCCTTGATGTTAGAATACGAGAGTTTTAATACTGGTACTGTAGCTTCCAGCTAAGAGAGCTTGAGAAGATAATTTAAACTGTAATTTGATTTTCTAATTTGTAACATGGAAAAATATCACAGGATCGAATGAAGCAATGTTAATTATAGCACTGATAAATTATAAAGTGTAACACATACAGTTATTTTATGATAATGATGATTATAAAATCACTCTACAAATTTGTTAGCAAATGCTGATTGATTTTTATTCATACTTCTTGCTTCTAGAGGGTGTTTTCATTGTGAGGCACCACGTTCATCCAGCTATTCTTGGGAGTCATTCCTAACTCCTCATTCTCCCTCTCTTCCTTGCCTAAAACCTCTTTTGTGCATACACATCCATTAAGTCAAGACTCACAGATTCTACTTCTGACTTTCTCTGTGATCCACTCATTCCTCTTTATCCCCTCTGCCGTGATCTCAACTTTGATTTAGAGACTGCAACAGTCTTTCAATTGGCTCCATATCTTTCATCAAGCCATGGTTTACACTGCTGCCAAAATGATCTTTCTAAACGTGCTTATTTTCTTACCCACTTTGAAAACTCTTCAATGGCTTTCTGTTTTCCTCAAGAAGAAATCCAAATTTTCTGGGGCACCTGGGTGGCTCAGTCGGTTGGGCGGCCGACTTCGATTCAGGTCATGATCTCGTGGTCCGTGGGTTCGAGCCCTGCGTCGGGCTCTGTGCTGACAGCTCAGAGCCTGGAGCCTGTTTCAGATGTGTGTCTCCCTCTTTCTCTGACCCTCTCCTGTTCATGCTCTCTGTCTCAAAAAATAAATAAATGTTAAAAAAAATTTTTTTTTAAAAAGTCCAAATTTTCTTAACATAGCCGGCCCTGAATCCCTCAAAGGTCCAGCTCTACTGAAAACCTTACCGTTTGTGGAAAGTCCATGCTCTGTCTCTCCAGGCCTTTGCATCTGCTGTTTTCTTCACCTGAAACTCCTTTCCCCCCTCTTTAAAACCAGTTAACTTCTACTCACAAATATCTGTAGAATGGGTATTGAAATATCATTCATCTAGATAAGTATTTGCATAACTTTATGGATAAAACTTTACTACTCACTTTAGTAATTTTTAAGTGTTCTGTCAGTAGGAATTTAAAGGAGCAGCTAAAAATGTTTTTAATAATCTTAGAAAACATTGATATTTGAGGCTTAATTTTATATGGACAA